AACCTTTGCGACCGTACCTTTGAGACCAAATCAGGTTCTCCAACTCAAGGACGAGCCTGACCGTCCAGTCATGAACGACGGCTGTGCTCTCATATCCAGGGCACTGGCCAATAAGGTCTGCGACTCCCTAGATATAACCGGGAACACGCCCAGTTGTTTCCAAGGGCGAATAGCAGGAGCAAAAGGCTTGTGGATGGTGGATAAGTACGATTCCCAGATTTCGGCAGGTGGCGATGACGATGACGTCTGGATCCAGATATCTGACTCGCAGTTGAAGATCAACCCCCATCCGCAGACGTGGCAAGAACCTGTTGACGAGGAACAGCTGACCTTCGAGGTGGTCAAATGGTCCAAGCCATTGCATCCAGTGCACTTGAATATCCAATTGCTAGCGATCTTGGAGCATGGCGGGCACGCCAGAGAGCACATCGCCGATCTCACTCGGCTGAGCATCCAGTCAGTGTATAAGGAATTCGCCGAAGTGCTCCGATCTGACAATCCTGTGCTCTGTCGTAACTTAATCCAAAAGATTCGACCGTCAGCAGATGATGGTTCGAAGCTGCTGCTCCACAACGCTCGGCGCATGGAGCAATGGATGAGGAATGGGTCCGAAACCTTGATTCGTCTGACGGAAGCGGGCTTTACGCCGCGAAGCTTCTATCCTCTTCGCCAGCGGCTCGGAAGATGTCTCCGAGAGGTATTGGACCGGCATGTGGAGGAGCTGCATATTGAGGTGCCGCTATCCACCTATGCCTTCTGCATCGCAGACCCGTATGGGGTACTGAAAGAGGACGAAGTCCATTTTGGATTTTCGGGCAATTGGCGGGATGGCCAGGGCCAATTCGAAGATAATCTCCTGGACGGCATGGATATCCTCGTCGGACGTCTCCCTGCCCACCTTCCTTCCGACATTCAGCGCCGGAAAGCCGTGTGGAAGACGGAACTCCGTCACTTCAAGGATGTCATCGTGTTTCCCACAGTCGGGAAGATTCCTCTAGCCCACATGCTCTCTGGGGGAGACTACGACGGCGACACGCCATGGATTTGCTGGGATCAGAACATTGTGCAAAATTTCTACAATTCAGACATGCCAGAAGTAGAGAAACCGCCGGAGTACTTCGGCGCCACGAAACATGCTGTGCCAATGACGGAGATCTCGACCTGGGATGAGTTTCTCCTGAGCACGTTTACTTTCAACATGACGCTGTCGAATCTGGGTCGATGCACCGTCGAGGGCGAGAAACTTGGATACGACGAGGGAATTAACGCGCCGAATGCCATCGAGCTCGGCTGTCTGCTCAGTCATCTGGTGGACGGACGCAAGAGCGGCGTGCACCTGTCGGAGGCGGCATGGCAGAAGTATCGCAAGAAAATTAGTCGCAAGGTCCGCGAACTACCTGCATATAAGAATCCAGATCGGAAGCCTAAGATGTCAAACATCATCGACTATCTGCAGTTCGACGTCGCTCGGAAAGAACGCCATTCCGTCTTGAAGCAGCTCCAAAGAGAGTTCCCTGAGCATGAAAGCCGAAACATTAGGGACGAAGCTCTCGTGCAACCTTGGAACGAGGCGCGAAGACAAGCCGACCAGCAGGGCCGGGACGGACCGCTGTATGCCGTTCTCGAAACGGTCGCACGAGAAATCGACAGGCTTCGTAGCCAATACGGAAGTTCCTTCAGCGACGACTCGTTCTCGGCCGCTACGACCGACATCACGGATCGTGCGAGTGCCCTTCCACCCCCTACCATGGGAGGCCACCCCTTGATCTATGTCTGGCAACACAACACGGACGCATGGCAGCAACTGCTTGCCTCGTATACCTACAAGAAGCGCCCCTGGAGTAGCTTTTGGCTCCACGCATTTGGTGAAATCCTATGCCAGATCAAAGCAAACAGCCTGCCCTCACGGACGGTGACCCACCAGGTTTTGTCATGCTATCGCGTCAATCCCAAGGTAGTTGCCCGGTTGAGTGCGCAGGATGCGGTGGAAGACGGCGAAGAGAACGAGGACGGTGGAGAATACGAGGGACATGAAGCCATCGAGGCCATGCTGTTTGGAACGCAGATGCACGCCCCGGGAGGATATTACGACCCTGACGATTCGATGTCGGTGGAATAAGTTACTCAGCCGTAACTACACCATGTAGCTATGTAACTACTCCGTATGTTTTAGGATCTTATGCCATTTAATTTCTTTCTTTCGGGCTAATTCCGGCGGGAGAGGGGAACCATTTGGAGAAGTAAAGGATCGATTGGCTCCGGTAATTGGGAGGCGCCACTTGTCTGAGTCAGGAAATGCACACGATGGCGGCTCGGACGAGTAAGCGGTCAGCGCGGACGTCCTCAGGCTCCGTCATCACATGTCATGGATTCCGGATGGGGTTTGGCGGATGGTGACTCAGCGACGGACGGGCCAGTCACATGGCAATGTTGGGGCCTATTACCTCAGGCATCGGCAGAATCGTAGTTCTTGGTCTGACACCGTAATCCGTAATAATTCCTCCGTCCTTCGGAATGCTCCTTGACTTTCATATGGGCGGCGTTTATCCGAGCTACGCATGTGAAGGTCAGCCTGGCTTTTCCTAGTGTCTTCGTTTCATATGAAAATCCCAACCCCGATGATCAACGGCGCTGCATGATAGGCTCTTTGCGAGAGGAGAAGGCTCTACGGTATACTCCAATTCAGCCTATACTCGCACCTTGTGGCAAGGCGATACGATCCGCCGTCATCTTCTCGGTCGTCACTTGCCCTGAGCGCGAGGGAAAGTGAGAGCGTGAAAGTCAGAGAGAGAGAGCGAGAGACAGACGAAGTGCCGGCATCCAGTTCCTTCCCTTCTTGGCCGCCCGCCCGCCTTATTTTTGCCCTTTGCACGTGAAGGAAAGCAAACCTCGCCTTCCCTCGCTTTTCTTCTCCATCCCCAACCCGATCGCCACGTCCCCAGCCCAATCCATTCCACCTAGCCGATTTTCCTATCTAAAACTAGTCCGTTTTGGCTTCTGGGCAAGCCATGGACCCTCGTCCGGACGGCGTCTCTGCCCCGACGACTACTGCCCCCAACACCTCGCTCTCTGCTGTCCGAGACGCCACTACAACCCCAACGCCGAACAATCCTCAAACGACTAAAGCTACCAATCTCCCTCCTCCCCCTCCTTCGACTTCCTCTTCTTCTGCTACTATCTATCCGACTTTTCAGCATGTCCCTTCCTCCATGATGGATCTCGACAACAGTTACGTGGCTGAAGGTCGTTCGCGTCGGGCCACTAGTGTTTTATCGATGGATGATATCGAGGCTGCTCAGGCTCTGGAAGGTCTCCGTACGGGTGGGTTAATTATTTTGTCCTTTTCTCCGATCCCGTTTCTAGATCGCGTTTCGTCTTATATTTTTTTTTTTCTGCCTTCAACCTGTCTGATCATCTTCTAGAATACGGACAATCTCCCCGACACTCTTCGCAGCACTCCTCTATCTCTTCCGAATCGCAACCCGAACCCCTCCTATCTTTGCTTACTTCTACCCATCCCCTTATCTCTTCCGCGATCAACGGCTCCGTATCCGCCTATACCTCCTCGAAATCGTACTCCTCTCTGATCAAGTCCGGTGCCGAATACATCGAGCGCAACATCGGCTCCCCCGTAGCCAACACTGTCGGCACGGTTGGTCGAAAGACGGGTGTCGAAAGCGGTCTTCGGTGGGCTCTGCAGCGGCGTGCATCAAACTCGTCGGATGCTAAGCGGTCGAAACGGCGCAAAGTGAGCGGCGACGAACCTTCGGCGGACATGGACGTCGAAAAGGCTATGGATGACGCCATGATGTCTGAATCTCTGCCACCGTATGACGACCAGAGATCGCCCAGCTATGATGAGATCGGACAGGAGAACTCCTCGCGACAGAACTCCACCTGGCAGAGTCGATTGGTGATCTCGACATCCGGGCTCGGCGTGGCCATGAGCGAGGAATCGCTTCGAAGCCTGCAGTACTGTCTGACTTGGCTACGGTGGGCTAATGGCCGGCTGGGCAAAGCCATTGTTGCTCTACAGGGGGCCCTTAAAGAATGGGACCAGCAACAGAAGGATGCGGAGGGATCGTCCGCTGCCGGTCAAGACACCTCGCTGTTGTCTCAGCGCATCCAGGCCGTCCGGGAGGATGTGCTGTCCACGTTGAAGCAGGTGGTCAACGTGGTCTCTAAATATGCGGGTGGAGCGTTGCCCGAAAATGCGAGAAATCTCGTCCGTCGTCATCTGACGTCGCTACCGCACCGCTTCCAGGTCGCCTCGACATCGCACCCCCCGCCCGACTCGCCTGCCTCGTCGTCCGATGCCACTATCGGCGCTCACCGTATCCTGGTGTTGGCGCAAGAGGGTCTGGACATGATGTCACAGGTCAGCGGGGTTGTCAACGACACTTTGGTCAGTGCGGAGCATTGGTGCGAAAGATTGGGCCGGAAACGGCCCGATAGCAAGAACCCGAGCGATGCTCCTCCGGCTAAGTCGCGCAACGAGACGTACCCGGCGGATATCAAGGAACCGATCCATGAGGCGCCGCGGGACGTTTCCATGACGGGAACCGAGGAGAAAGTCTAAGTGTTGCTTTCACGGCTGCGGGTTTCTCAGCGGGTCCTGAGTTCATGGGGGATATCTTCTCTGTGTCGCCTCGAATTGGTAGCTTGATGCTTTCAGAACTAAGACCAATGTCTTCATTGGGTCTTGCCCCTCTTTTTCTTTCTCTTTTCTTTCCTATGGTTCTTCCATGCATGTCGATCAGCTTCCCGGCGGATGTGAAAGACATACGGCGTTCTTTTGGTTTGCACTTATTGATACCTGATTGTTGGACTGGTTTTTTGACGACGCACTCGGACTTGACTTTGTTTCTTATTTGTTTTCATTCTCGGTATGGTTGAATTTATTCAAGCTATGTATTGTCTCGTCCGTCATTCTTTGAATCTACTGACATTTATTGATCTGTCTGTTTGAAAAGCTCCTTGATTGTCTGTATGTACCTGATCTATCTGACGATGTGTTCCCCAAGCCATGGCTCTTCCAGCTCTATCTCCCGCAGCAAATTCTTGTAGCCATTCCCCCAGAATAGCTTCACCTTGACGCATTTCCGCTGCCTGTGTCGCTCCGCCATAATGGCCGCCCACTTGACGCGCACCTCATCGAGATGTTTCTGTCTCACCCACCACTTCTGTCGCCACAATGCCGTCTGATACATCATGAACAGATTGCTATCCCCAGGCCACCCCCACCGTCTCACCGTGACACCATTCCGCTTCCTCTTTCTATCCCCTCCATCCTCGTCCCCGTCGTCCCCAGAACATGCACTCCCCTCCTCCCCTTGCGAGGAGGCAGCCTGCACATCCATCTGCGCCATCTTCCACCTCCACTTCCTCAACTCATGCATCTCCTTCACATCACGACACAGCGTCAACGCGCCCCGCCGACTCAACCAATGCAAATGAACATGATAGTCGACGTGATATCGCGCCATCGCGACATCTCTCCCTGGTAGCTCGTCCACGTATCGCTTTACTTGGTCTTCGTATGCCGCGCGCTGCGCCGCCGTCATTAGCGCCCGATATCCTGGTCTGCGACGCGGGGACGGTGTCGCATGCGGTGCTATTGGTGTGGTATCGTCGTCGTCATCATCGTCGTCGCAGATATCTTCTGGTGCTAGAGTGTGTGGTGAGATCTGATTCTCGGTGTCGATCTCATGCGTATCCTCTGCGCCGGGTGGTGTCGTGTTCGACGGCGACAGTCCAAACGCACGTAATCCGTTCAGCTCTGCGCGGGATAATCGGAACGGGGGATCCCGTGTCGCCACGTAGATCTGGGATTCGAGATGGCGGTGGTAGGTTGTTCGGGGTATCTTCATGGCGCAGGATTGGCAGGTGAGGGATTCGAAGAGGGAGATGTTCTTTTTTTGGGCTTGTTAGATTGGGATTGGAATTGAGGTTTTGGTTTTGGTTTTGGTGTTTTGGAGATGGATAGGGGAGGGTGAAGGGGCGGAGGGAAGGGCGGAGGGACTCGCGGGCTGACTTACTAGTTCTTGTTCTCGGGCTTGGTCGTCGGGTGTCATGGCTGTGATGGTTTCATGTCCCATGTTGGATAGGAGATGAGGTTGGAGGTTTTGTTGTGTGCTTGAAGCCAAATGGATTGGCACGGGCATAGGCATTGGTGCAGAGGGCTGAATAGGGATGCTGATGCTGATGCTGATGCTGATGCTGATGCTGATGTCTTATCGTGTCCATTCTAGGATTGGATGGAAGAATCTGGGTCGGGAGGGTAGCAGAGAAGAAAAAGGACCAGCTCTAGAGGAGTAGAAGATATTGATTGACCGGGGGCTGGTCAATCAAGAAAGAAAAGGAACGTGAAGGACAAAAAAAGCAGCCGGTCTAAATGGGTATAAGTATAGATATAATCGATAGTAAGACAAACTAGACGAGCTAGTGGAGAGAAAGAAGCGAAGACAAAGAAGGTGAAACAAAACGGAAGTGAAAGAAAGAATGGAAGAAAGAAAGCAAAGACATTATATCGTATTGACTCCTGGCCTTGTTTCTGGTTGCTTTTTGTCTGGAGGATGAATGGACGGTGTCAAATGACCGGTCCGCACCGTGACCCCGTCACTGGGTTTGGTCTGTAGATCAAAGAATGGGCTGTGACGACATGGGCTTTCTTTATTGTTTGATTGTTGATTCTGGCCTTGGATCTGGGGGTTAGTGAATGAATTAATAGTTGTGAGGTGTTGAGGTGTTGAGGTGTTAGTATCACTACGTGGTGTTCAGAGTATATAGTTGTGCTTGTTTGGGTAGTCACCATTCACTTCTTGGGATATGAGCATGAAAATTCAATTCACATATTGCATAGAGGGCCATCTTATATGATAATCCATTGCTTAAACATTATCCTGGGTATAATGAATAGTTAGACATATCCCTGGAAAAAAAAAAAAAAATGAGTAGGTGAATGAGTTCCAATTCTCTGACTCTACACCAACCCGAGACATGTAGCCAGAGTCATCTACACAGACCCACCTTCTCATCTTAATTCCATCCATCCCCAAAGTCGCTTCGACTAAACTGAAGAGCCAAAAGAAACCACAAAAAAACCCCCTTTGACCTGTCTCTCTATCTCACACCCACCAACACCAAGAATCGAGATCCGAACCCGCTAACTTTGAGAAATGGCCTCCCTGGCCATCCTCATCCCCCTCTACCCCTCTCTCTGCGTCTTCTTCTCCTCGCTACTGATGATATATCTCTACCGACGAGGTCTCCGACGCGTCTGTCTTCGCTTCATCTTCTGGAAGAATCGAAGCCGAAACCAGAACCAGAAACAAGGACGCTACACACGACTAGACGACAGGGAAGTGGAATTAGAATCCGGGCTCGAATCAGAGAATGAGTTCGAAATCCAACCAGAGGAATTAGACGACGACAAGAATGAAGACGGAGACGAAGCCGGAGAGGATGAAGATGATGAAAAACCATCTCCATTTCCCGAGTAAGTCCTAACCAAGCCCTAATCTTCAATCCTGAAGCATCCACAACCCTACCTACCATCTACCATATCTATCTGTCCAATCCAATAACTAACCACCCAACCATAGACCAAATCCACAAGAACAACCCCCTCCACCCACCCCCTTGGCCATCTACTTCAACGCCCAAACCACACTCATCCACCCGCAACTGCTGTCCCCCGCGGCCCCGCCCACGCCCGGCTGGGAACGGCAGCTGCGGCGACGAATCGACGAGGGGCGCGGTCTAGGCGCTTGGAAGGATCGGCTGGTCGAGAGGACGGTGCGATGGCTACTTTCGTTTTCTTGATTCTCTGACATTTACCGTGCAAAAAAATAAATCGATTTTAACCTATCGACGGGATAGATAGGAGGTTGGATGGGGATGGAGCGGTGTGATTGATGACCCTGAACAATCAAGGAACCTGGGTCGGGCTTAGACTACAGCACCAAGCGTCTAAGATAGCGCCATTTTATTACCATCCTGGCTCTATAATGGGCACCCGCTGGACAGGTCAGATTGATTCATGAGGTCACCGCTCTCTAGGATGCTACGCCCGAAATCTGCACCCTGCAAGCCACTCGGCATGCAAGGATTCGTGGCACCCGCGAAGTTCCTGGGATGGAGCTTCTTATTTCTTCCAATTTGAGGGCAATGGATTACGGAGTTGAAGGGGCAGGAGATTTCTTTTCTCATGTATTCGTTTATTCGTGATTTCGGTCGGGGAAATAGCAACTGTGTATGTTCTGTATATGTCTCCCCAATAATCCCAAGGAAATATCATCTTTTCTATCCTCTTTCCCAATGCTCTAAATAAGATGATTTAAGGAGCGCAGTAGCCACCGTCAACCACAAGGTCAGCTCCCGTGGTGTAGGTGGAGGCATCGGACGCTAGGTAAAGGTAAGCGCCCTTTAGCTCTTCGGGCTGACCCTCACGACCCATGGGGATCTTGTCGCGCCAGACATCCTTAGTCTCCTTGGACACAAAGTTGGAAATCTCCGTCGCGATGTAACCGGGAGAAACGGTGTTGGCACGAGCGAACTTGACCCACTCGACGGCGAGAGACTTGCCTGCATGGCTGTCAGCACCGATGATAATTCTCCACGGAAAGGGTAAAGCGCAATGCAAGAGAGAGAAAAGAGAAGGGCACACATACAGAGGTGGATGACGGCCGATTTGGCGGCGTTGTAGGCGGCTTGCATCTGAGGGAAATTGACGATGTGGCCACTCATGGAAGCCGTGGCCACGAAGCTGCCGTAGGTGAAATTCGTCAATCTGTTGCCGTTCAGGTCGGTTCCCTCCTCCTTCTGTCGTCTCCAGTGGGCAGCCGCCGCTTTGGCGCAGTAGAATGTACCGTTGAAATCGATGTCCACGACGCTTGAGTAGTGGTCAAGAGGGCCGTCGACCATGGGGCCTTTGGTCCATGGAATACCGGCGTTGGCAATGAAGACATCCAAACGGCCGTTGAAGTCCTTCACGACCTGATCGACAGTCTTTTGCACAGCCTCGGCATTCGTAATGTCAACCTGATAAGCCTTGGCTGTTGAGTGTTAGTTACCGTCTGATCCTTTGGGAGCAAATACTTCAAAAACCCATGGAACATACTTTGAACACCATACTTGGAGGCAACCTCCTCGGCCCGCTGAGGGCACTTGTCGTTAGTGTTCCACAGCATAGCAACGTTGGCGCCGGCTTCCGCGAGCCCCTGGGAGACGGCCAGACCGATCCCGGCACCGGCACCGGTGACGATAGCAGTCTTGCCCTGAAGGGAAAACATCCCCAGGAGGCTGGGGTGCGCGGGAGCAGTGGTGTTGTTATGGACGAAGTGGGCCAACTCGTTAACGGGTTTAGAAGCCATGGTGAAAAATGGTTCCAGAAAAAAAGAAGAAAGTATAGGAGAATAGTAAGAGAAGAGATCTAGTAAGATCTGCAAAAATGCGGGAGAAGACAGAACAGGAGAGAAAACAGAAGGGCTAAGGTCAGTCGGCACGCCCTATATAAAAGCCCACTAGACAGACCAGAGAGCCTAGCGAGCTATACAGCTGGCGCATGGCGGGGTCGAGCGAAAGCACCGACAGCAGATGTCTTGGAAGGGGGCAACAAGGTTCAACTTCGCATGTTGACAGCGACTCGACCGCGATGGACTATGACGCTATGCGACCCCCAGGATTCAAAATGCGGGACGATGGAGTCGTGGAGTCGCGTGCTCCATGATGTAAAGTTAGCACCCGCGGTGGACCGCTCTTCCCCACTTGAGGTTGAACGTTTGTTGGCTCTGCACTTTGTGGTTTGTCTCCAAAGGTCTCTGCTGAATTGATCTCATTTTCTCTCCTCCACGACCTGCGTGAAAGTTGAAAATGATTTACTTCTTCGGGAAAGGTGGGAACACCCTGGATTCGGAAGGGGAGTTCTTCCGGCGCCCGTGATCGGAGAGTCCCGTGACTGGCAGGTGGCCAGACGTGGGTGCCGGAGGAGTCAGGCATCCCTGCGTGCCGTTAGACGAAGTACAGGCTGGAGGGGATCTATGCACTTTGCAAAGAAGACGACCTGGGTGGGTGAAAAGGCAGAAAACGGTCAATTCGGACATGTAGCATGCAGCTGTTGGTCTCGATGTGCCATTGGTAGACCCTTAGACCTACTCCGGAGTAGGTACTACCTAGTATAGCCTGGTGGACAGACAAGAAGTGAGCGAAACCATTCCATCAATCAACCACCTTCCCTCATATGGATATGATTCTCGGAAAGCATACCAGAGACTGATTGACATGGTTCAATCCCAGCCTTGTCTCACTAGATTGACCGTTCGTCCTGGTAGGGGAGATGCTCATGAACCCTAACCATACCTACCCCCGAACCAGAGCCCTCTTGCTACCCGCCGGGCAAATCGACCAATGCACATAATCCCATTTGATCGCACGAAGGTCCCAAACACACCACACTGCTTGAGAGTGTTTTTCAAATTCAGAATAAAGCCCGTCATGCCCCAACCATGTTTTCTAGGGGGAGGGGACCAAGCCGTCGGCAACATTCCTCGCGCCCCCGACTACAATGCATCCACATTCCGCTGCTCACACTGGATTTCGACGCCCATAACAAAAAACATTCACCCTGCCTCCGTCGCCGCCAGTCACCCCGTTATGCTCTTTGTCTTTCGCCTCCGCCTCCTGTCTCGTGGGCGTGCTTCCTTGTGCTGCTAGGAGGTCTGTCACCCTTCCCCGGCATCAACTTCTGGCCTTCCCCAGACAGAAGCAGGGGACACCTTTGACATTGAAGGATAGAGCAACGGTCATCAAAGACAGGACAATTTCGACAAAGACAGTTCGCAGCAAGGAGTGCAGGAACAGATACCATCCCCTGTTCATGGGCTCATCCGCCAGCGTCGCATTTGAGCCTCGTTGGTCTTCTGGAATCATAAAGAGGGAGGTATAGAAGGATTTCAGGTTTCACAATGCCGGCATTAACCACCGTTGTCGCCATTGCGGTCTCCTGCGGTGTCGTTTTCATCGTGACGACGGTCGTCGGTACCATCGTCTGGGTGAGGATTCGCCAGGAACGCATGTCGCTCGCCGTGGCCAACGCACGACATGGCCCATACGTCCACGGTCTGGAGACCTTCCCTACCGAGACTTTAACGGAGTTGTCGCGCGAAGAAGGCTCCGCACTCAGACAATATGGTCAATTGCCATACGGAAGACCCAATGAATGGGGTCTACTGGCGTCAAGAGAAAGTCTGGTCCAGTCGACAGCCGACTCCGAAGCTTCGTCTAACTTTATGGAGAAAGCGCGCGGACTGCGGCGATCTCTCTCGCAGTCCCTGTCACGCCCCCAGTCTGCCCGGCGATCAAGGAGTTTTGTACGACCCCGGAGGCTGAGCTCTCTAGCACCACTGAAGGAGACATTGGAGAGGGAATCGCCTCCTCCGCATGGCAACAGCTCGCAGTATGACGACATGCCAACCTCCGCGGTCGACGGAGCATTCGAATTACCGACAGAAAGAACGCCTCGACATACCCCGGAACGAGACGATGAGAATTACTCTGGCGTGGATTCAAGCATACGCCACATGCCCGGTCAATGGATCGGCGCGCATCAGAGAGAACGCTCGGGAAGCCTATTTCCAGTAATGGAAGATGGCCTGCTAGGATTCGAGCAAGGGCGGTCACGAGGAGGGAGTATAACCGCTCAGTCGGCTGGGCTGATGCCAGACCATCCAGTCCCTCCGCCTCCCAGTGCCTATCCACCGAATCGATTCCGCCTCTCGAAGAACGACTCGATCGGACTCTCTTCGCTAAGTCTCGAAACGGCCGACAGCTCGATCCTGGACGATAGCCGCAGGGCTTCTGGAGCGGTCGATGGTGATTTCGTCTCGCCTGCGCTGCCTCCCTGTCCCACTTTCGCGCCGTATAGCGCCAACGACGTTGGGCGCATGGAATATGACCGACGAAGCTTCCTCACGTCCAGCTCTATTGTGCCGGCGCCTTTTATCTTCCCTCCCAGTTCCCCGGCGCGAGAGGTCCAGAGAGTAGAGCCTGATCGGCACTCTCCTCGTCGTAGCCTGACTGCACGAAGCCCAAGCCACTCCTCGGACCGAATTAGCCCAGCACCGCGGAGGAGCGAGTCCGTGTCTACCACAACCAATCAATCCAGAAGGGAATCCATGTATGCGGACCTGGACCTCATTCCTCCCCTGAACACGACGGCGCGGAATTCAGCTTTGCTTCCCCATTTCAGCCAGATGCAACGGCATTCCGTTTATGGCAACCCTCAGCGAGAACACGATCCATTCATCGCCAGCGCTCACAGCATCAGCGGGTTCATCGGCAACCCCAATGCACCAGGCCGACGACCAAACAGTTTCTCCTTCCAAGAAACGCATTTGCAGACCTCGATCACTCATCCCAGACCACCTTTGCCATCGGCAATGAAAGGGGGCAGCGGGCCACGAAAGGGCCATCGGCGACAGAACTGTGTGCGCATATCGATTAACCCTCCCATAACCTTTGGCGCGCCCACATTCTCGCCCATGGTGGAGGAAGAAGCCGAAGAATTAGACGATGGCGATGGACGCCGATCAGAAGTTTCGGATATCTCAACCCCTAACATGTCGTTGTTGAATTCTAGCGTTTCCTCCCTATCGATGAGCCGGAACAGTTACCACGCATACGCAGATGACCGACCCAAGACGATAGAGGCACCTGAAAGTCGGCCCTTCTCGTCGTACAGGAGTCCGACCAAGAAAAGAAAGCACTCGCGCCATGACTCCGCGGAAAGCCTAGTAAGCTCCTCGGACAACGGAAAGACGCTTCCT